ACATCTGAAATATATGAGTTTGTATGTAATGTATGAATATAATATACAAGTTTCACTTTTTAAATGGAATTACTGAAATCAATCTACTTTTTCATGATATTCTAATTTTATGACCAGCACCTGTATATTTGTATAATTAAGATATGTGTGTATCTTCCCCTTTATCTTTTATTTTTCTTTTCATCTTGATGCGGTGGGACATTTTTTTTTTCTAGCTATGGTTTTTTTATCAGAATATATATACATTGTTTTGTATGGCAGAACTAAATACATAATATAAATAAATAAGTCTGAAGATGTAAAAAAAGTTACACTCAAGGTTTTTTTGAGGATTTTTTAAGATTATAATTCCATTTATAATGACATTTAGTTAGAGATTTATGTCCAAACTTTTGTAGACTGTTCTTCTAATAAATTCATTAATAAAAATCAATTTCAGACATTAAATCCATAAAATATAAGGTTGGATTGTTAGTCTGTGTTGGCTTATCATACAATCACATTAGGCATATTGGAGTAACCTAGCAACTCATCAGAGTAACTCACCTTTTAAAGTCATCATAATCAATATTTATTAGGGCTTCCAGAAGCTCTGTTAGAACTTTTCGTAAAAGCCTTTTTCACTTTTTTTGTGCAGCATATGCTTAAAAAACCAAGGAAGTGGAACAGCAGGCAAAATAATTGCCTGAAGAAAAGCACTTTAAAAGACCTCTAGAAATAAATAAAAAAATGATGCTCAAAACCATTTAATGATGATAAAAAAAGATTAGGCCTCTAAGCTAAATATAACAAAAAATGTCCATCTTGGAATCAGTGTGTGGCTTTGATTGCCCCAGGAGAAAATAAGGAAAAGGTAAAAGGCTGAAAGTTTAAAACCTGAGCGCAAACATAAACATACACACATGCACGTCCAACACAATTAAACTAACTAGTCTTTCCCAAAAGACTAACAAGAGGAAAAGTATTTGCAAGCTCTGATAAAACAACCTCAGACCTTCATTCAGCATGGAGGCAGAGACAGCTTATTTTGAGAGGCCCATAAAAAATGGATGGATGGAGTTCTGCTATTTCCCTGAAGCCCCAATGAACTGTTCTTAAAGGCCGAGAGCATACAAGGACAAGCAGAATGCTTTCCATCTTTGATGAATGCACTTGTTTATTTTTCTTCATTCTCTGAGCACTTTAGCAAAGATATATTTTACTTCAATACAAAATGTAAAATCATGTATTATCTGAACAGGTAAAAATTTCCTTTTTTGAGCAAAATAAGAATATAATTTGTATATATATTCTAGGGAATGACAAATCTCTTTAAAACACGACATGGAAATTCCTAATTAATATATTCAAATGAGGCGAAGCCTTAGGTGTTGCTTTTGTTCTCTTGAGTAATTTATTCATTGTGCACGTCGTGTCACACTCCACTTGCTGTTTCAGTGCATTCAGCTCTAGTCATTTGTTTGGCAAAAGAACCGTCAGTCAAGTCCGGAGAAATTTGTTCTGCACTAAAAAAAACTGCTGTTAAACTCTTTAGCTATTCATCAGCTCACAAGCACTTAATCTAAAGGCGAAAAATCAGTTTAGTCAGATCTGAAGGTGTAAACCTGGGTGAAAATCTTATTAGAGCACTCATTTGACTGTGCAAATATATGAGTAGACATAAACATAAGCCGATCTACCACTGTGGGATTTATACTTTTATTCATTTTGATGAAAGGATAAATATACAGTGACACAAGTTGTTTTGTATTCCCAGCACAGATTGATGCATCATTCAAAAGGCGACAATTATTGTTTGTGAATCACTACTAAGATGAGTCATGAAATGTTTTGAATTTCAAGGAAATAAATTGTTCTCCAAGTAAAGCTAAAGTTCATTATCACTACTCATTAGACATCTGCTAATGCCACAGGAGAACTCTCCAGTCTAATCATTTTGGTTTATGACTATTTTCTGTTTCAATTGGGTATGATGTTGTGTTGCAATATTAAGAATCATGAATACTATAACTGTGTAATACACAGCACCTTACAAAAGTAATAAGCTTGAACTTGAGCTTTAAAATTCAAGTTTTGTTGATCGTAATTTTACAGAAGCACCACTTCTTCCACTTTAGCCCCTACATGGTTTTTGGCAAACTGGAGATAAAACCCTTATCTTTTTATGTTTGTCTGAATTGTCTGTAGCAAATACTGAAAAACTGTGCAATACCTCCCTTCTAAAAATCAGCACTACTTTGTCTATCACAAAAAGTCCCCCAAAACACAGCTGTTTAAAGTTATCCGAGGGCTATAAATACTTTTGCATGTCACTGCAAGTTTCAAACTGCAGAAAAAAAAACTAAATACAAACCTCTTAAATATCCTCATACGATCAGTTCCTTATAAAGACAAAGTGTCTCATTTTACCCCTAATTATCTTATGGCGGGACAAGAATAAATGACATAGCATCTATGCCAGCATATTAACATATTCATTCCCTCCCCCAGATCCCTGACACAGCTGTTTTACTGTTTGCTTAGAGTAGCTAATAAGCCATCATCTTGGATTAAAGACAAATGAACTAGCACCTCAGCTGTGCTGTAGAGTAGCACCATGCCTGCTCTGGACAGTTCATTTAAAGAGGATGAATCAGTCTAGACATACACTATAACAGATCTCCACTGGTGTTTCTGAGGTTTGATGGATTCAGTTTAGATTCGCAAGAGGTTAATGTGACTCTTGCTGAATTTATTTTCATGTGGGAATTACATAAAAATCTTTGAGGACTCTTGGCGCTGCTCTTTGTTGGGATGATTGCAAGCTCACAAGAATCTTAGAGGGAGGGCCTTACAGCTCTGATCAGCACTAAACTATCAAGCTGAAAAGTGGATTAAAGGGAAAGTTAAGATTTTTGAAGAGAGGTTTTGTGAAGTATTTATTAATATGCGCTATTTTAGTCACATCAGCAGAAGTATTTTGAATCTGGAGGAATAGCTAGACAAATTGGCAGCTCAGTTACAGCAAGTTAAACAATTTTAGAGACCATTTATCAATTTCCTACCAGTGTGAGAGTAAGCTGCTGTTGAGCAGATAATTTCACCAAGTAACTATAAACAGGAGTAGAGGAAGAGCTAAAGCATATCTACTTACGTAAAAAATTTAGTACAGGACAAAATTGTGGGAAATGTTTTGTTTTTTATAGTGAAATAATCATACAGAGAACCATAACCAGAAAGTTGTCTTCGATTAGGAGTGCAGGACTTTTATTTTATTTTTTAAACAAATTTGCAGCATGTGCTTTATATTTTTGATAATTACAATACCAGGCAGGGATATCTATCTCAAATATCAATATCAATATTGGGTCCGATACTATGTACGTATTTTTGTACTTGTAACTATAAATGTGATCCATACAAAATAACTAAATGTTCCAGCCCATGGAGTATGTTCAGCAAAGTTGTCAAAAGGAGTAAAAAAAATAAATAAAATAAAATATTTACCATAATTGCACTTTTATTTTTATTACTCTGTACTGGTACAAGTATTAAACCAGTATCTGTATGTCGCTAATGCCAGGGTTCTGTGTAATTTTGCATCTAAAATTCAACTAGAAGAAGCTGACTAACTTCTCAGCCATCTGCAGTTTAGATCTATGTGGTCTTCTCCCCAATTTGGAGAGGAGCACATGCTAAGCTCTTTGCACATCTTTGTACTCTGGATCATAGCACAGTAGGCAGAGACAGGTGGAAGTTTAAACACATCTGACTGGTATTCAGAGATTTGGATTAGTCAAGACACATTTATATACAATAAACATACCGCTGTCTGTTAGTAGTCAAAACGAATTTGCAAACAACGAAGGTTGCAACACTTACAAATACAGAATATTTCACAACAATACATAAAAAGAATATGTTATAATATGAAGAATAAAGTGTTATTTATCAGCTTTGATCAGATTATAAAGATACTGCGTATTTGTCTAGGTGAGTAGGCCCTATATGCAGACGTCAGATTCAAATAGGCTTTCAGTGACATAAAAAAATGAACAGTTTACCTTTACTTTGTCTATTGTTAATACATTAATTTATTGAGCAAAATTTACCTTTTAAAAAACTGAGAAACACCAATTGTTGAATATATACCATTAACACTCCATTATCTACATAGTTATAAGAGAACTAAATAAATGCATCTCAAAATGAAACTGCAAACACTTCAAATATATGTTTTCTTTTTTTTTTTCATAATTACACTATTCTAACTCTATGTCTTTCTCAGTATAGTTTTAAAAAGTCTTGGACACAGACACATGCACACACATAAACCTCCTGTGCCTTCTCCAACCCGATAAACTGTATTATATTTAAGTGAAAACTAATTGGAATGGGTTTAAGATACTAAAGCAGCTCTTGAATCTGCTTGTTTTTTCTCTAGTACTATGAGTGTCATCACTCCACGTTTCTGAATGGAGAAAAAACAAATGTTGCAACATGCTCCTCCTCTATGTATCAGCATGACACTGTGGATCATTTAATTTAGCTACTGCACAAGAGCTTTCAGATGTCAGCCAGAGTTATGGCCGGAGGTGCTCTGAAGCCACCTTGTCAAGAGTGTTTTATACAATTAATGTAAAACGGGAAACAAAAGGATTTAAAGTCTCTGATTGCCAAACCATTCTGATGCATGCAGGCAGCATATCTTAGAGGAGCTATCATTGCTGCTACCTGGCTCCTCCAAATTCCACTAAATAAACCACCCTCAGATTTGTGTGCATACTTAAACCATTTAGCAAAGATTTGTAATGGGAAACTAGTTGCATCCCAGAAGAAAATCATCCTCCTTTCCTTAATTGTTTCTTTACCAATAAACAATAAATTCAACAGAGAAAGGAAAGAATTAAAACACATGGTTGATGTCAGTCTGCCCATAAAAAACGCACAGGCATTCGATTATTTTGGTCTCTGTTCTCTAAAAGTATATATATATTTTTCTGTTCTACAAGTGGTCTTACCTTCACTTAAAGGGTCAAGTGTGTGAATCATCAGTTGGAAAATACTGTTCCTCATCAAACTGTTGTGCAGAGAGGCAGAGCTACCTCCCCTTTGCAGACGAGGCCTGGCCTATAAGAGAGAAGATAAAGTGTCAGTCAAGCGTGCTCCTGCAAGTACAGAGCTCTGTCCCTTTGAACTGTTAACTTCAAGTCAAAACCGAATTAATGAAATAAAAATAGCTTCACTTTTGTATGATTCTCCTAAGAACCTGATTAAAAATGCCTAATTAAAGTTTTTTTTTTTTACTCTTGAGCTTTATCCTGATGTGCCACATAACTAGAATCAGTGGTATTTAATTTTGATAATTGTGAAGCTACAGGTCTTTTTGGTGTGTCTATACCACCTTCACCCATTTATGTACTTCCTCTTTGTATTCATAAAATAGCTCAGGTTGAATAAGAATGAATGAAGTAAAACTGAATATCAGCTTTAAGATTTTAAGCCACATATTTTCAGCTTTTTTTTTTTTTTTTGCAGTCTGGACTTTAACTGGTCCACTTCAGTGCATTGTTATGCTTTTGTTTTATCTAAAGTATTTCATCAGTGGAGATGCACTGATCAATTTTTTTCCAATCCAATCGGATATCGATACCTGGGCTGACCATATCGGCCCACATTGTATTCCGACATTGGATTCCGATCTGATTCGACATATGAATGGACCATCTGTCTTGCCATGTGAGTGAAGGATTTAGCCCTGACATAAAAATTGATAAAAAATTTTACCAACAAAGATATACATGTACTTTATCATATTTATTAACAAATAAGCAGCAAAAAGAAAGAAATCAAAGTTCAATGTAAAGAGCACTGGATTGATATAATATCAAATCGGTGATATCCGATCCAGGTATCAGATCAGTGAATCTCTACACTACATTACTGGTTCTATGTTGAGGGGTGTTTCCTTCAGAAAATCAAATCTTGGCCATACCTCTTTTTACAATTTTTGGAGTTTTGTTTTTCTCCATAACAATTCATCTGTATTCACTTCCATCCAGCTTGAAGAAAAGTATACCCACAACATAATACTGCCACAACCATGTTTAATGATTGATGTGGTGTGTCCAGGATCTTATTTTCTCGCCACACCCAGCATTTTGCATGTAGACCTAAACAAATATTTTTGGTCTCCTCTGATCAGAACCTTGTTCTACATAATATTTGCTTAGTCTCTTACTTGCATATTTGCCATGGTTCTGTGATATAAATAACTAATTGTTTAGATATTGTTGTATAACCAAAACGTGCAATTTGCACATCTGTAAAACGTTATGGAGAAAAAGGTTCAAATTTAAAAACGACTCCCGCACACTGAGAAAGTTGTATAAGAAGACATTTACTGTATTTGCAGTATTTCGGTACTAGACCTTCATTAGACAGGTTCGCCTGTCTAGTCTAGTACTGTTCAGTACTAGACCTGAAAAAGATCTAGTATTGAAAGCCTGAGTTCTTTAAGTCAAAGTTTAAAACCCTTTTATTTATTTGTTTAGAATTGCCGTTGACTGTTGAAGTTAAAGCTGTTAACTGAGTTATTATCAGTTTAAGTCTGTGATCCAATAGTTTTGTTTTTTTACTACCTGTTTTTATCATGTTTTTCTTTACTTGCTTTTATTCTGCATTTATTTCCCGTTTATTTTATTGTTTAATTCATGTAGAACACTTTGAAAAGTCTTTGTAATGAATTGTACAAATAAACTTGCCTTGGCTTAAATTAAGTCTTGCAAATAAATGTCTTTCTATGCAAGTTGAACAGTGTGTGGGAGCTGACTTCTGAAGATAAATAAATAAATACACAATACTTTATTTTTGGCTGTCGGTGTAAATGAATCCATGAGTATAACCAGAACAGTTTTTCAGATCTTTATTTGTAAAACATCTTGAAATAAAGTATGGAAATCGGGTCTACTTTGGGTGGGCTTATTCCAAAAGCATCAAATAAAACACTAAGGTATATGATTGTGACGTAATAGAATAATAAAAGGTTTGAGGTTTATTAATGCTTTTGCAAAGCAATTAAGTATAATGCCGTTATCTTATTTGTTTAAAGTGATTTGGAATAAAATAACTGCAGAAACATTTGATGATGTCCTGTGCCGTTCTTCAATCAAAGGGTATTGGTGTGGCTTGTAACATTTACTCAGAAATGTGTTTTGACCTTGAAAAAACATCTCGCTATAATCCTCTTTTCCTAAAAACCCATGTGTGGAACCTGAAACTAAGTAAAAAAAATCATAAAGCACTGCTGCTTCTTATAACTATAAGCCTCTGCCGGTTGAGACAGGCGTGCTAAGTTAGAGTGACAGTTCAGTTTCTTCTCCAGAACGAATTCTCGTCAAGGTCACCCCCAACAGCTGAAGCTAAGCCAGAGAAGAAGGAAAGAAATCAGGCGCCGTCACAGGTGACAGCTGTTGGGAATCTGTCTGCCTTTGGGTGATCTCAGGTGATGCGTGGGCACCGGAGGTGTGAGGTGTTAATTCACAAGTCCGTATGGGTGTGAGCGGGAGGCGAGGGAGACAATGCTCGTCTGGTGACACCCGTAGATCTGCTGCTTGGCTTTATTTTCCCCCTTTCCTGCGTTCTGCATGGAAGCTCTTACACATGCGTTAAAACAGTCTGCAGACTGAGAGACACGTGCTCCTTGTTTAATTGCCTTTTGCATGCCGCGTGCAAAGGCAAACGGAGGAAAAAGCAAAGGGCTTGAGAAAACAGACGGCGCCACTCTGCACACAGAGAGGCTGAGGGGTGGAAGTAGCAGTGTGCCATGTTGCGTTCACAGTGTTGTGGGAGAAAAGTTACACATTAAGGACATCTACACAGAGAACAATGACAAACACAGAAGCAAGATTGCAAAAAGAGTCAGTCAGACGAGACCTACCGACAACTTGCCATCTTCGTCTGGTGCCCCGGGGCTCAACTTCTCATCCAACACAGAGAGAAGAGGAAGTAAAAGAGGGGGAGAAAGGGAGAGAAAGAGAAAAGAGGACATACATGTGAAGCACGCCACACACATAACCACAAAGACTAGATGAATAGACAGTAAAGAGATTGACATTACTGCACAGCAACAGTGAAGACTGATTGTGATGTTAGTGGACAAGACTTTGAAGGACAGATTCCTCCCCTGCTGTCGAGGCTGCCTGTTGTGTTTGTCACAAGCTGAGCAGGATCAGCCTGCATCTACTTGAATTTCCTTGAATTTTTAGCTAAAATGTCACTTTAGGTTTTCATTCAGGTCAGTAATGTCAGCCGTCAAATAAGACATTTGACTCATTTCCTGGTTTAGATTTTAAAGCTGTCAAGGACGTATAACTGTTCGATGCATAAAGTGATAAGAAATACAAAATGTAAATAAAAAATATCTATGGTAATTTGCAAAAACTTTGTAAAATGTTTTTATTTTACTACTCTTAAAAATAAAATATTTTATCCTTAATTCAATAGGGTTCGGGGGAATCCTTGGATTTCCTTTTAGATGTGCCATACTAACAAGCCCAAAACTGCATACCTGGTCTACCGGGAAATACAGAAATGTACAAACATTTGAGGTTGCTCGGCCTTGCAGTCCTGTATCATGCTAAGGTTTCCAAGGCACCACATAGGAATTTATATTATGATTCTATTTCTAGTAATCTTGGGTGGAGAGGACTTACAGTTTTCCAGGCTTGCTGAAGGCCTTTCCAATGTTTTGGATTATAACTGGTTTTGCTTCTTTTCATTTACTGAATATTTTCAGCAAAACATTTGCTTAACTCATCTTGGATTTAAAGCATTAGGGGGGAGTCGGAACATCAGGGTTTTGAAGTTTGTTTGTTTTTTTGGGATGACTATAACCTGGATGATTGAGAATCTTCACCAGCAGTTTGATGTAAAGTAAGTTTCACCTCAAAAGACTTTTGTTGTTATCTCCTGTATGTAAAATAAAATCAAATTGACTTTTAGGCAGGGTTATTAGAGGAGTAGCAGTCGGTGGATACTTGTTAGAGGACTGACTTTCACGCATAAAAACTTAAAAAATAGAAAGTGTAAGTGATTGTTCTCTACTGGCAACTTAGTAAAGAAGCTGTTTTAAATGGGGCCTTTATCCATTTAACATTATCCAAACACTAAAATTCTGCATAAACTAGAACAAAAAAATAAAAGAAACTAAATTTTGTGTTGTACTTTTAAATGCGCTAAAGCTGTTTAAAAAAAAAAAAAGAGGGAGTCCCCCCTCCTTCCCTGCCTCTAAAATACTGCAGGCCGACTTGCTTCCGTTAAACTTAGTGTCGATGACTCAACATAAAAAAAAAGAGATTAAAACACAAAATGGCTTCCATGGGAGAGAAGAATCAAGAACACATATTTTCCAACTAATTTCCCAGCTGTGATACTGATAATTTCTTGGAACCTTTGGGTCTTGTTAAAGGTATAGTGGAGGATGTTCTTTTTCCGGGTGGATCATCGCAATAAGTGGTCCTCCTAACTGTCAATCATTCTGGTGATATGTTTACGTAAGGCCATCCTACGTGCTCGTCCCTATTTTCCCTTACCGGTGGTGAATCTGACATAGTGGAAAATTGCAAATCTTTTTTTGAAAGTAAGCTTGTACGTGTGATACAAACAGCAGATTTTTAAACAGAGCGTGCACGAGGAGAAATGGGTTTGTGCATGCTCTTGCACACGTTTAATAGATGTTCCCTCTCGGGTACAGGTACATGGTGTGCATGTGCCTAAGTCTGGTCTTTTCTAAAATTTGCGAAGATCCTCCACAATACCTATAAGGACATTTCTTGGAAGATAATGTAAAAAAAAATCCTTGCTTGGTAACTGAATATACAGTATTGGTGAAAAAGAAGTAATAAACAAGAAAGTGTGTACCTTAGCAAGGCAAGATTTTGACAAGATACAAATCTGAAGAATTGTGAAAGAACACTATGCGCTGTTGAAAGTGCCCTAAATCACTACAGCCAATATTGTTTTCAAAAAAACAGTCTTACTAAACTTGGCCAGTCAAATGGAGTAATCAGAGAATGAAAGGACTTGGTCGAAAGAGTAAACCCAAAAAGTCAGAAGCTGCCTTGAATAAACCTCAGAGTTACTTTTCAGAGAAGAAATACTAGAAAGCCAAACAGTCCACCAATCATGGTGTTAAAGCATGAAGGTCAAAAAGAAGGCAATTGTCACTAAAAGGCACCAGAAGGTCTTGAAGGAAATTGTCCTAAAAACATAGAGTGTGTCTAAGGTTAAAAAAGCTATATCTAATGGGGTCATTTGATGAAACTTTATGTTTGATGGAGAAACCAGGAGCCCAGCATTCCTTTATCTTTAAGCTGCAATCTAGGGAAGTAGCAGGGATCCAATGAAATGATATACAGCTACATAGATAAACAGATACACTTTCAGTTTAAACCTTTTTGATATGGCTAAAGATAACATTCAGTGCTTTATTTTTGCAAATGATCACTGACATTCATAACACAGCTTGATGATAAGGAAGAATTTCCAGCATTTTTAGAAAATACACTGAAAATTATTCTAGTGATTCTGCTTTGTGCGTATTTCAGCTAATTACACCAAAAGGAAAGGTTTTTTTACAATCTTACATCTTTGAGGCTGAGTTTGACTGTAATGACCCCGACGAACTGTGAAATGCCAGCTTGAATGGCTAGAACTTGCCAGTGCACTCTCAAAGCATTAGAGTCGGAAAAGCTTTCCCAAACAAAATTTGACCGATCTTACTTTTGAGGAATGAGATGTGTTTTATTTATTTTTTTGTCTTATGGATTTGACTAAAATGATCCTGACAGTGTAAGACATTCTGCAGGAGGGGATATGGAAGGACTGAGTGGTAGGACTGGACTTGGTACAAGTCCATCTGGCATGGAATCATTTTCAGCATAAAGTAGGAGCTCATAACTATTTTTGTTGATTTGTAGTGCGTACACCTAATAGCTGTCTTACACAATCTTCCACCTAAACTCTGGATCCCCTTTTTACCTCTTGAATCCAATGCCCACCTTGGCTGCTCTGATGAGGGCTCAGGGTTCTTAGTAGGTTTGCAGGTGCGTCAAACTCTTTCCACTTTCAGATAATGAATTAAATGGAGCTTTTTTAAAGGTGCAGAGAGTAAATTATGGTTTTATAAACTAACCCTGGCTTTAAACTTCTCCACAGCTTTATGTTTGACCTGTTTACCATTTCTACTTATTACCTAATGAATATGCCCTAATTTCTGTTCATTTTCTAGGGGGGGACAGTGGTGTTGGATCTAGGAGTTTGCCCTGAAATCAAAGGGTTGACAGTTCAAACCCCAGCTCAGGCTTTCAGTGTTGTTATGTCCTTGGGCAAGACACTTTACCTGCATTGTCTACTGATGATGGTCAGAGGGCCCGGTGGGGCCAGTGTACAGCAGCCTTGCTTCTGTCAGTGAAGCCTACTACACTGTACTGTAGTTTGCCACCATCCTAGTGTGTGTGAATGGGTGAATGACTGAAGAGTAAAGTACAAAATAAGTACAGGCCATTTAAAATTTCAGTTGGCCCATAACTTGAAATTCTTCTAAAATTGATCGGAATTTTATGATGTAATGTGAAAAAACTGGAAGCAGTAAGAGTCATTTTAATGTGGGAAAATGGACCAATAATTTCCCATCGTTATTTGGTTAAAAACTGAAAGCAAACAATTTTCCATTCAGCACACAAACATAATTCATCATGCTTGTCTTTGTCTCTTAAGTTTTATTGAATCAATTTGCCACACTTTCTTCAGTAACTTAGTTTGGCAGCTGAAGCATTAGGTTGACAAACTTTAGCAGGAAGGTGAAATTACAGTATCACGCCAGTTTCTAATGTGATAACGTAGTCACAAAGCACGTACAACATTGAAAAGGGACTCTTGTCTTTCAAACAATCCTTCCATTTTTTCACTGCCGTCATTCTCAGCAGGGCTCTTTTTTTTTTAGCACCTTCAAATGCTGCAACAGTTTATTTTTGAAACAAAAGACGTGCTCCAACCGACTGACTAAAGTGCGCTCACTTCATCTCCAAAAACCCGAGTGTGAAGCAATAGTCGCCTGAGGCCCTCAATCTCTAAATGTGAGAGAAACGAAACACACAAAAAAAGGCTTTTGTTCAGCTCCTGGAATATCAAGGCATTCTTTGCCTGCCTACGTGGTTTCAAAGAGGAACTTGCAGACCGTGGAGGCGCTGGTGTTTGCTGATAAGGCTCCCTAATGTCCAATGAAATTCAGAAAGTAATCCAGTTTGAGCTTGTGGTTTGAAAGAGGCCTAAACTTCAGGACGAGGCCTTATTGCTTGTTAACACCGTGATTCAATTCCAGGCTTAATGATGTTGCTTTGCACTGAATACCAAGGTGAAAACATCTGGAGGTGTTTGTGTTACTCCCAAAAGCCTGTTGGGTTAAAGGGGGGCATTTTAAGTGGTTTGTGGCCCCTTTAGAGGATTGTCTCTAAATGGAGAAGTTTTAGATTCAATTCGCTGAAACATTTCCTTGTTTCATGTATTTTGAAAAACAAAAAATCACTGAGAATGTCAGATTCCGCTGCTTCTCAGTGTTTCTGTTTAACAGCTCATAATGTACCATGTATCAGCTTTGCCTCTGCGGGTTAATTACAGAAGTGAGAAAGATGCAAAAAAATAAATTAGTTTTTTTTTTTTTTTACATTTTGCAGAAGTAGAGCTAATCCTGATTTTTTTTTTTTTTTACAGAGCTATTATAACCCCATTTCCTTCTTCCCATTTTCACATTTATGGGTTAATTCCCTCCACACTGCAGCATAAATATCCTATTTCCTTCCATAGCATCCAGCTCAAAAGCAAATCAGGGGGTTTAAAGAGAGAGCAGGTGAATGTACCGGATGGAAATTATGCCATGAGCTCCCCCATTAAGCCGGCGTTAAATATTATGACTAATAACCGCGCGGG